CACACGTCGCCCACCCCAAGTTTCGCCCGTGCCTGGCTGTTTGGTCCTCGTGTGCATAAGATGCCTTTTAGGTGGATGATGACAAAACCTTGTCGAAACGTTGTACATTTGCTGTTATGTTAAACTTATATTAAAGTTTTTCTTCATTACCCACTCAAGCCGTCTCCAGCCATTATTAGTCTCAAAGTGGGTTCCTCGTCATCGAATTTTAGGTGGAAAATTCCAGTTCCGTAATCTGTAAAATGAACAAGAAAAGACGAATCATTGATATTCCGATAAAATCTTATCAGATGAAGTTATTATAAATTAATAGAAGTGTGTTTAAAAAAAACACGTTGTTTTTTATTTTCTTAAAACAGGTAAAGAAATTTGGTCAAACGTTCATTTCGTTTTTGTTTTCTTAAAGAAGAAAGAAAGATTAGTATTACTCAAAATACAAAAAAAAATATCAAGTAATTGTACAAATGTTCAGACATTTTATTGATATACATTTTCATGTCCAGGTGGCTAGGACGTTCGACTCGCAATCTGAGGGTCGCGGGTTCGAATCCCCGTCACCGAACATGCTCGCCCTTTCGCCACGGGGGCGTTATAATGTTCGTTGGTAAAAGAGTAGCCCAAGAGTTGGCGGTGGGTGGTGATGACTAGCTGCCTTCCCTCTACTCTTACACTGTTAAATTAGGGACAGCTAGCGCAGATAACCTTCGTGTAGCTTTGCGTGAAATTCAAAAAACAAACAAGCAAGAAAAAAAAAACGCTTTCGTTATCATTAAATTGTTGCTTTATTTTACCGAATAATCCAAAAGCCCCCCTCAACAATAAAAACCGTTACAACAAAACACATTCTACCTCTGTATTTTGCACACAAAAATATGATACAGATATTATGTTGTTTGATTCAACACAGTGTTTGATCAGATATTTTATTGTGCTTAAACTGGCATATTTGTTACGTACACAGAAACTTAAACTTGCATTGTTTTTACTCTTAATTCATTATTACTTTGAACACTTGCTACTTGTTACATAGCAAAAACGGTAAACTCGGTTTATTTGAAACTTTAGAATGTAATTCACTAATAAATCCAACAGTTTGTTATTTTAATTTAGCCCAATGCTTGTAAAGTTTAGGAAAATCCCTAAAAAATTCGATCATTATCACAGTCCCTGTCGTTATGTGTCTGTTCAACCTGTTTCTTTTTATTTTGTGGCAGAATTCAGCCATGAAAGGGGAGGAAAAGGAGAAAATGTTATATTCGTAAATAGAAGACCTTAAACCTACATTTCCTATATCTAAGATAGCTAACAGGAAGAACGCATTGGTATCCTGCAATGATGAGAAGACGACAGATGTGGGAGTCATTCTATTAGCTCGAGTTGCGTCCTCTTTGTTGGTTATTATACAACCTAATGGCTTTTCAGTACAGCCGTGTTTGGCTTCTTTGCGACATAGCAACAATCTTGTTCCCCCCTTTTTTTTAACCGGACTAGAAGTGCGTAAATACCAAAAAAAAGAAAAGTCGTAAGTTCAATGAAATTTGATGATCTGATAGTTTTGAATACTTAATCAGTTTGACCAATAAAAATGTTTATTACTGAGTTTCAGTGATTTCAAAAGATTGGGTTTTCATTTTGTTTGCTCGCTTTCGTTTTGTTTTGTTAAGCGAAACGCTGCATAATTGGCTATCTACGCTGTGCCCAGCGCATGGATCGAACTCTGAATTCTATCGTTATTCACTCTCAGGCTTACCTCTGAGCTACCGGGTGTATATTGAGTGTTTTTGTCCATATTTTTGTTGCTGGGTTGCAAAACATTAAGAATTTGTTTTATTTGTTGGTTGCTAAGCGCAAAGCTACACAAAAGGCTAGTTGCATTGTGTCAACTGCGGGTATCAAACCCCGGTTTTTAATGTTATAAGTCCACAAGCTTACCTCTGAGCCACCGGGAGGCAGGTATTCATTGTACAATCAATTGAAAATTAAATATTAAATGAAAACAAATAAACTTCAATCCAGTTTTTTCTAGTTTAAAACTAATCTCTCGAATGTCTAAAGTGGAAGTTGTTAAAAGTTTTAAACTAGAAAAAACTATGTGGGTTTCCGTCATTTGGATAATATATTTAGATCATAAATATAAAAATAACCAGTTTCTTATTCTCATCATGTGGAAAATATATTTAGATCATAAATATAAGGATCATCAGTTTCTCATTCTCACAAAATGGAAAGTACAGCTGTGTAATTCTAAACACAAAAGTAATCGGCTTCTCGTTTTCAATCTCTACAAAACATAATAGTAGTATTCTTGGTGACTTTAGTATTGATTGGGTTTAATGCCTTGTTTTCATGTCCCTGTAGAAAATGTTTCGTGGTAAAGTTAGAATTCATTGAATGAAATAATGTTTCATATTAGTTTCACTGAATATATAAAGAATGTGTGGGTTTCTTTAACAACTTCCACTTCAGACATTCGGGAGAGTAGTTTTAAACTAGAAAAAACTATGTGGGTTTCTTTTACAACTTCCACTTTAGACATTCGGGAGAGTAGAATGAGAATCTGGTAACGTTTATATTTATGATCTAAATATATTTTCCAAATGATGAGAATGAGAAACTGGGGATTCTTATATTTATGATATAAATATATTTTACATTTTGTGAGAATGAGAAACTGGTGATCCTTATATTTATGATTTAAATATATTTTACATTTTGTGAGAATGAGAAACTGATGATTCTTATATTTATGATCTAAATATATTTTACATTTTGTGAGAATGAGAAACTGGTGATCCTTATATTTATGATCTAAATATATTTTACAGGTGTTGAGAACGAGAAACAGGTGTTTTTGTACTTAAGATGTCGCTTTATTTTCCAGAAAGTGAGAACGAAAAATCGGTGACTGTTGTATTAAATGAAGAGGAATCGGAGTTAGTTTTTGTGGAATATGCTTCAGACAAATTTTTGGTATGTTTAGACTTTTATTAGTAAATATAACTTCTGTGCTGAAAAACCCTTTAAAACTTGTTAAACTTCAAAAATAAGAAAGCAAGCAAGTTCTTAAAAACCCGTGTTACAAAATATAATTAATCGTACGTGTAAATGAGATGGGTGTGGTCTAGAGTTTCGCGTGTCGGCTGTTTAGTGGACGGTCCAAGATCACATCGCGAGGTCACTGAGCATACTCCTCACGTTCAGCATGAGCGCGTTATAAAGATGTCGTCGAATCTCGTTATTCGGTTGCGGCAGTTTGGTTTGGTTTGTTATGAATTTCGCGCAAAGCTACACGAGGGCTATCTACGCTAGCCGTCCCTAATGTAGCAGGGTAAGACTAGAGATAAGGCAGCTAGTCATCACCACCCACCGCCAACTCTTGGGCTACTCTTTTACCAACGAACAGTGGGATTGACCGTCACATTATAACGCCCCCACGGCTGAAAGGGCGAGCATGTTTGGTGGGACAGGGATTCGAACCCGCGACTCGCACATTACGAGTCGAGCGCCCTAACCACCTGGCCATGCCGGGACACTGACAAATATAATTTATTAACGAACACAAAATGGAACGCGAGAAAATCTTATATCGCTTTAGTGATCTTACAACATTGGCGACTTGAAACCTTCTCGCAGGTAGCCTGATAGCGCTCTTTGATGCCGTTTAATCATTATTTATCTTGATGCAATTTCATTACCCCCACCCCCTTGTGAAAATTGGGTCCAGGACTTATTGAATGACACCCTTTTTTGTTTTCTTTTCTAAATTGTTTGGTGCTTTTTTTAATATCATATTTTGGAAAATGATGTTTCAAAAACTTCTGGTTAAATGATTAAGATAATGCAGTAGCCACGTGGTTGTACATTTTTTAAGATATCCTGATTTTCTGGGCCAAGTACGGCTCAGAGGTTAACGTGTCAGACAATGGATCTGAGGTTTCGTGATTCGCGACCCGTTACCTTCAGAAAAATATCTCGCTCCATACTTTGGATCCGCGTATGCGTTATAAGAGTGACAGTCAAATCCCACTATTCGGTCTGTTGTTGACTAGCTGCCACCCTTCAAGTTTATAACTTCAAAATTGGAGACGGCTATCGCAAATAGACTTCGCGTAGTTTCGCACGAAATTCGACACACAAACACGCTTCTTTTCCCTTTTACCGACCTTTTCTGCCAGAATTTGCAAACAAGCCACTAAGAACAAGTTATCTAATACCTTAGTTTTGAAACGTCATAGAAAGAACGCAATGTTTTTACTGCCTACATTAATGTATCAGGAAATATGTGGTTAAAAAACAAAACTCAAAACATTAAATGCTTAATCCCTATTTCTTTGCCCAAAAATCCCTCGAAGAATGAGTAAAATAATCTAAAAAAAGCCTATATGATTAATAATTTATACCAATGAGATGTTTTCTTTTTCTTTTAGCGAGTGCAATTGTTAAGTAGCTTATAGTACTTTGAACTCAAATATTTAGAGGCTTAACACATGGTAAGTTTGAGAACTTTTATGGACAGCATCTGCCTGTTGAGTGAAAAGAGGACGACGTTTCGGCTTCAATACTGAGGGCTTTTTACAAAATAGGCTGAATATTAGACCCAGACTTATATTTAAAATAACATTGTTCGTAAGTTTCTAATTTTAAACAGATCAGTCTTCATTAGTCAGAGAGATTTCATTTTATGCTAAAAGTTGTATCTAGCTACACTAGAATTATAGAATTACCCATTGTATTTGTAATAAGAAATTATTTGAATTAACTCTATAATTCTCTGAGAAAAGCCAAAGAATTTCGAAAATTAACATTTTAACAATTAACAATTTTCAGAAGAAGGCCTCAGCATAGAAGCCGAAACGTCGTCCTCTTTTCACTCGACAGGCAGATGCATGCAATCCGTCAAAGTTTTCATATCTACTATGTCTACTCTGCCTGACATTGACTTAAGACTTAACACATGCAAAATAATACACGTTCTTTAGGCAAGACGCGTTAAAAGACATAACGACACGTCGAGTTATGACCTATTCTGTGTTTGTTTGTTTGTTTGAAGTTAAGCACAAAGCTACACAATGGGCTATCTGTGCTCTGTCCACCACGGGTATCGAAACCCGGTTTCTAGCGTTGTGAGACTTGGGGGGGTATTCTGTATGTAATTTATAACGGGGTCTCAGTAGCCGCGTGAAACAATTGTTACAAGCTTAATTTAATCTGGTGTGCTGTGAATACGAAGAAACAAGCTAGCTATTTCTTGTTTATATTTGTTTGTTTTTTCATGTTATCTTAGGACCAAATGAAGGATCTTCCGAGCTCAGCTATTAGCTTCGACGCCTACATGGTAGTATATTCTGTCACAGATAAGAGAAGTTTCCGGAAAAGCAAGGAAATCATTAATCATCTTGTGTCTTCGGAAACCTCCAATAGTAACAAAGCTGCAATCTTAGTTGGAAACAAGATAGACCTGGCAAGAATACGGAAAGTTACTAGGAAAGGTTGGTATTAAACATTCACCGCAGAAATAGGGACAAAAAAGTGGAAAGTCCAGTAGAAACCTAAAGAATCCAGTGCAAGCAACTGTCATGGCGTCACATCATAACGGTTGTTATTCTAACAAATAGCTTATATAAATAGCGTTTTACCACTATTGTGTTTACGGTACACCAGCTGAGATAAAAAAAAAACAGTAATGGCGAAGCATGATTATAAATAATTATATTTGTCCTAAGAAATTACTATTATGGCTATTATATTTTAATACTAAATTCTTTATTCAGTTCCTTAGTTTTTGTTGTTGCTGTTTTTAACCACACTATGCCCGCCATATCCATTGCCGACGACGCGTTTCGCTTAATACAGAGCTCATCAGGCCAAATGGGATACAACAAACACAGTAATGGCCAGAATACTATTGATATAATATCGATAGGTATAAGAAAACTACCATCACTAGAGAACGCAAAATAATACTTCCCGTGAATTACAGCAAATCACACCATTTAAAACGCAATGAATGACTCGTTATTACAAATCATAAAACGTCATTTAAAAGACACAACCGTTCGTACAAAATATTAAGATTATGACATGAATTATATGACCATTCATTTTAAAAGATAAAGTCAGCTTTGTTTGTAAAGCACGAGAGCCAAATGTGATTAGTTCAGGTGAACAATATATAACTGTAGTATAATATAAAAATCCGGTTTTGTATCATTTAGATATAAGGATGCTAATTATTGACTTATAAATATACAATTAGTCGCATTCAATGTTGAAACTAGGCCTACAAGCAAACAAGCCCAAAAGTATAAGCAAACAAACTTAAGTCCAAACTAAAAACAAAAATCCTTAAAGTTTAAAGTTTTCGTACATTCATGTGCAGTACAAGTGTTAAGTAAAGTCAGTGAAGGTAAATAGACCGAAGGTAAGATAAGCTCACCAAACTTTAACACGTATTAAACTGAAAAATCTCACATTATTCACACTGCTGACAAAACATCAAACAGATGATTTGAAAGAAAGACCTGTCTACAGTATTTACTCACTGAACCGGTCGTTTTAAGTAGTTATGTTACAACGAAAAGCCATTATGTGGCTTTATTAAGTAAGACGTTTTAAGAAAACATTCACTATACAAGATTTTCTTGTGTCTATAAAGACAAGATTATGGTGCTACTTTTCCATAGTTTTTTATCAGTTTTACTTTTGATTTATAAAATTTACTTTTTGGTTTATTTATTCACATTATATAAACGAAATTTTACTAAATTACTTTTTTTTTGCCACGTCACCAAATTGTAAGTTTCACGTGGGTGGGTGGGTGTGTGGTTACCAGGACTTCATATTTTCATTGGTTCGAATCAGAACATACATTTATATATTTATTCAAATATTAACGTCCACTATTATTTTATTTCACGTGTGATTTGTTTGCTTTACTGTTATATATTGTTGCGTATCTGCTCGTTTGTTAATTTCCGGTATGAATTCTTTCCGAGGAACTTCAACGACATAAGTCCTTTCCTAATTAAAACTAGTTTATTCTTTCTCGATACAACTTTGTAATACACAGAAGTTCCATGTCAATACGTTTGCAATCTCGATAACAAAACACACACTTTATATTACCCTCACTACGGCTCGCTTGACTCAATTATCTGTCTCTATATCTATCTATCTATCTCTGCAATCTATCTGCCGATCTCTGCTATTCTATCTTTTTTTCGCTGGCTTTATTTGCCGGGCTTATATACTAAAAAAGAGGGCGCCTGGAACAAACTATAGTTGTCAGGAAAATTCATGATCCTTCTAGAAACTCCAGCGTCGCGTGACTTCCGCTGCCGTAACAATATGATTTCAAAAACGTTCCGAAAATGTGCAGACTAAATGATTTATTTTAGTTATTAACAGACTAGCGGTTGCGGCAATCTTTTTGGGGCTGTATTCTGAATCTCAGCGATTATCCTAGTCTTATCTTTATCATTAATTTGGAGGCCCGGCATGGCCAGGTGGTTAGGGTGCTCGACTCGCAATCTGCGAGTCGCGGGTTCGAATCCCCGTCTCACCAAACATGCTCGCCCTTTCAGCCGTGGGAGCGTTATAATGTGACGATCAATCCCACTATTCGTTGGTAAAAGAGTAGTCCAAGAGTTGGCGGTGGGTGGTGATGACTAGCTGCCTTCCCTCTAGTCTTACACTGCTAAATTAGGGACGGCTAGCACAGACAGCCCTCGTGTAGCTTTGCGCGAAACTCAAAACAAACAAACAAACAATTATTAATTTGGTTCAGGGCGATGTTTTAAAAGACAGATTACTATTTGTTGTGAATTTTTTATAAGATCAACTCGTCGGTGAGTGACAATTGGTGTTTTACAATTGGGTCATTTTCTTACAGATTTCTCAATAAACCATGTAAAACTACAAAAATCAACCATTTCACACTTATGGTTGGTACATAAGGAGCTAGAAAAGTTCTTTGTCTCAGTATGACAGTTGTGAATAAATGTTCTAAGCTAAACCTACTATTTCATGCCAATCGTCACAATTTCTTGAAATCAATTAGATACATTTTGATTGATTTTTCCTTTTTATTACGGTAGAGGGACAAGCCATAGCAACAGCACATAACTGGAAATTCATTGAGACGTCAACAGGAATAAACCATCAAGTGGATGAACTCTTGGTGGGAATCCTCAGCCAGATCCGACTGAAATGGCAGTATCAGAAGAAACTAAAGAAACAGCAAGAATTGGTAACACTAACAGTTCCACGAATGTTCTCGTTCTGCTCCAGTTCCAAGACCAAAGTTTGTATACGAAATATTATAGAGAAAGCTGTACTGAAGACAAGATCCTGTAACAACCTGCACGTTTTGTAAAGGATTTTGTGAACTATTCTAATGAGGAACAAAACTCTGGAGTAACAGTGAAACCAAACGAATCTACCACCTATGACAGCGAGAAACCCGCAAACAAAAATGGCGCAAAACTAACTAGGGATAGGTTTACTTAATCACTAAAACGACTCTTGTTCAGAAGAAACCTTATATGACACCATTCTTCACCATGTAATGTTGGTTCTAATGAAAGGCAATAATGGCCAAGGTGTTCATCAGAAGGCAACAACAACACCTTATAATAAGGATGTGCTTTACAATAGTTGTGTAAATAAACATGCACGTATTACAAAGATTAAAACGATAAGTATGAATTCCTGTAAAAAAAAGTCAAAAAATCTTAAGATGTATTCGTTTTTTTCTTTTCTCAAGCAGACATATAAATGACTCGCGCATCAAACCATTGACAGAAGTTGAGAAACTTTACAACTAAAAACACAGATGTCTCAAAATCTCTTTATTGTCTACAGTTCTTAATACTATACCGTTACTTGATAGAAAATAAATTTTGATTGAAGACATTGGTTCGGATCAAGGTGTTACAACCAAAAATATGGACCATTGAGCTGGTCTTAATGATAGGAAGTATATATAAATATACATACATGTGCATATACATAAATGTATATCCTGCGGACGTTAAAGATATTTGTGTAAGTTCCGGGTTTTATACCAACTGTCAGAGCTGTAGGTTGTATGGTTCTCTAACCACGCATACGATCCCATTTAAACTTATTATGTACCAGCCTTATACATACGCAATAGGGATATACATATACAGAATAATGGTAAAGTCCCGATTTTCCTTAATGTTTTAAAGTATGGTTGTGTCAGTAGTGTGTATACGATTAGTGATAATGTGACGTTTTAGAGATTTTAGCTCTAATCTGGAGATGGTTGTGTCAATATTGTTTATAAGATTGGTGATAATCCAACGTTTTAGAGATTTTAGTTCTAATCTGGAGATGGTTGTGTCAATATTGTTTATAAGATTGATGATAATCCAACGTTTTAGAGATTTTAGTTCTAATCTGGAGATGGTTGTGTCAATATTGTTTATACGATTAGTGATAATGTGATGTTTTAGAGATTTTAGTTCTGATCTGGAGATGGTTATGTCAATATTGTTTATACGATTAGTGATAATGTGACGTTTTAAAGATTTTAGTTCTAATCTGGAGATGGTTGTGTCAATATTGTTTATGCGATTAGTGATAATGTGACGTTTTAAAGATTTTAGTTCTAATCTGGAGATGGTTGTGTCAGTATTGTTTATACGATTAGTGATAATGTGATGTTTTAGAGATTTTAGTTCTAATCTGAAGATGGTTAAGTCTATATTGTTTATAAAATTGATGATGATCCAACGTTTTAGAGGTTGTAATGCTGATTTGGAGATGGTTGTGTCAATATTGTTTATACGATTAGTGATAATGTGATGTTTTAGAGATTTTAGTTCTAATCTGGAAATGGTTATGTCTATATTGTTTATAAAATTGATGATGATCCAACGTTTTAGAGGTTGTAATGCTGATTTGGAGATGGTTGTGTCAATATTGTTTATAAGATTGATGATAATCCAACGTTTTAGAGATTTTAGTTCTGATCTGGAGATGGTTATGTCAATATTGTTTATACGATTAGTGATAATGTGATGTTTTAGAGATTTTACTTCTAATCTGGAAATGGTTATGTCTATATTGTTTATAAAATTGATGATGATCCAACGTTTTAGAGGTTATAATGCTGATTTGGAGATGGTTGTGTCAATATTGTTTATAAGATTGGTGATAGTCCAACGTTTTAGAAATTTAATCTGTAAATGGCCATGTAGTTAGTTAACTGACCACTTAAAATGTTTAATGTTGGGAGATAAAAAAAAAACGATTTCATTTGGCATACTGGTTTGGTAGCATCTCAAAATCTGCTAATGTTAATAAAAATACAATTGTACGTGATTTGCATAATTTTTAACCATAGAATATAACTATTCCTGATTTATTGCGATACATGCTACTTTGATGGCGGGCCCGGCATGGCCAGGTGATTAGGGCGCTCGACTCGCAATTTGCGGGTCGCGGGTTAGAATCCCCGTCC